AATATTCCTAGAAGTGGTTAGGTGAGAAGTTAGAGGTCTATAAAGTTGGTAAGGCTGTAAGAAAGGAGGGTCCGAGCTAAATTGTGTAAAGCTATTACTTAACGTCCACCTGACCTAGGCGGTGTCTCCTTGTGGAATTTGCCTTAATTCAGGAGACTTATTATATGGCGGTTTAGACTGTTATTCCTGTTAGTCCTTGAATGTGGCTGAGGGAGATACCTGATTCCAACACTAAAAGGAGAAGAAACGGATGGGCCCGAGGGAAGGAAGTCTTTCCTGAAGTTTATTCTCCAAATACCTCGAAGGTATATGTACAAATAGTGATCAGTCCACCCTGTTAGCAATTCTTAGGAAATAATCAATTGGGAAAGCTATGAAGACACACATGATTTTCATAACACAATACAGCTGATATATAACAAGCCAAGTAACACCAAAAGCTCCTTGGATTTGGCCTCCTCTGGAGGAATTCCTTGATCCCTCCAGGTAGTGACTTTGCCATAACCAGCTGAGTTCTTATGATAGATTCCTGCGGCTCATAGCTTGAGGGCTGTGTGGGACAGCAGTTTCAGGATGGCAGCCTTCCTTGCTGGTGTTTTATTGTCCTTTTCTGACAATTTACCAAGGACAGGAAAGAGAGAGTTAGAAGTAAACCCCAACCAGGCATGGTGGCACACACCTTTACTCCCAGCACTCAGGAGGCAAAGGTGGATCTCTGTGAGTTCAAGACCAGCCTGGTCTACATAGTGAGTTCCAGGACAGGAAGGACTATGTAGAGAGACCCTGTCTCAAACACACACACACACACACACACACACAGGAAGTGTGGCCTCAGTTGCCCTTAGCTGTGGAACCACCTTACTGGCCCTAGAGACATTTTTGGTTGTCACAACCGAGGATGTTAATGCTACTGTTGTCTGCTGGGCAGAGCAGGGGTGCATACTGTAAAGTCTTGTGCGGACTACCTCAAATGTCAGTGGCACCAAGACTGAGAATCCCGGGGTTGGGGGTGGGGCTCCGGCATCAGGAAGAAGCCTGGAATGCTTTCATTTATTTATGTATTTGAGATAGAGTCCCAGGTGGGCTAGCCTCCAGCTCACCTTAGCCGAGAATGACCGTCAACTCTTCATCCTCCTGCCTCCACTCTCCTTTACTGGCAAGGCAGGCATGCACCTCCACGCCTGGCACTGTGTCCTCTTTCTGTTTTGTTATACAGGGCCTCTCTATGTAGTCCTAGCTGTTCAAGGACCAGGCTGGCCTTGAACTCACAGAGACTCACCCGATTCCGCATGTACCACACCCCCAGGCCTCCATACTGTCTTCCTCAGCATTGGCTCTGCGTTACATTCCCAGCAGCAGCGGGCGGGACGCGCACATCACCCACACTTGTTATTTCGTCCCCTGTAGTAGCTTTCCGTTGCTGTAAGGAACTGACTGAGGCAAGTGTGGAGAACAGGTTGCTTTGGGCTCAGCACACTGGAGGTGCCAGTTCAACGTCCAGTGTCCCCGTTGCTTTGAGGCTTACTTTGGTTTATTTGCTGCCATTTTAGGGTAGGGATAGAACGCAAGCCCTCCTGCTCTGTCGCTGGACCTCATTCCCAGCCCACTGGAGGCTTCTGGCAAGGGAGAGCGTCACAGTGGAGCACAGGGACATGCTGTGGAGCACACTGCTCACCTCAGCCAGGACAGAAATGAGAGGAAGTGCTGGCCTTGGAGGGCATGCCCTGGGACCCAGTGACTGCTGCTGGGCCCCGCCTCCTGGAGATTCCAC